ATGATACAACAAGAATAGAAAATCATGTAATTTCATATATTTGTTGCCCCAGCAAACACTTACAAAGACCCTAACTGTGTGTCATGCTTTCCATTTTAGGGAAAAAGCCAGTAGGGCTTACAGAGGCAAAGTAAATAACAGAACCAGGATCTTTACCAGGTTTTTCTGACACTAAATCTATTGCTTATCCGTTAAATCAGAGTTATTTGTATGCTCTATAATAGTGCTTCACATGTTAAATCTGAACTTCCCCAGAACAGGAACATACTTTGTCTCTGGGTCCCCAGTGCCTCTTACAGAGCGGAGATCTTGATATGCAGTCAGGGGTTGTGAGATGAATGGGTTCATGAATGATTGAATGAAAAGACAAGTACTACCTTTCATACTTTTAAAAAGCTTCCTTTACCCAGCTGAGAGGTTTCTTTCCATGGAAGAGATATTTTCCCCCAAATAAACCTCAAGTGTGTGTCAATATCGGAATGCAAATGGATCAAAGCCCTTTTTTTAAAAAAATTCCTACTCTTCCCACAAAGTGAAAAAAGTTCTTTTGTTACCTAAAATATCTGCGCCAGATTGTACAATGCTGTCTCTTAACGCAAGTGCTTATTATTGTGGCTAATTTGGTCACATGTGTTTGAGGGAGAACAATGCCTCAGAAATTTTTTAAAAGCAAAACAGCAATCTGAAGCATTTGTTGTAATGAGATGTAAATTGCCAACATCAGTAGTGGAGCCGACTAAAATTTGCAATGAAGTGATTTTCCCCCCTCTTAAATTAAAAGCACTAGGGGCCCTCCCTGCTCTCCCCGAAGAAGACACATGCTTTTTTGTTCCTCTTCTTTCCGATCCTGTAATGCTAAACATTGCGCTCTATTGATTGATTCATTCCTTCATTCATCTGCCATTTTGCCCACTTCTGTCTGTTTTGTGCCTCAGTGCTAGGCTCTTCCAGAGGCATCAGCAGCCTGCATGGTGGCTTTTGGTAACCCCCATTTTGCAGGCAGGAAAGCTGAGTTGCAGAGAGGGTAAGATGACCTGACTTTAAAGTCATGAGCTGGGATTCACACCCAGGTCTCCTGAAAAGTCCCTTTTAAGATGTACCTTTGGCTGGCTTTTCAAGCTGACCTTCTGTAGACAATATTCTGGAAGGAGGAAGCTGTTGCAGAGAGCTTTTGCCAGGTGTTAAGCAAATGGTGCTGACTGAGAAGTGTAGAAAATAGTTTTTCTTGAGAGCCAAGATCTCAGTATAGTAGCTTCTGTATTTGACAGAAGTTTATCAGTCCCGTAGGAGACCATCGTGAGCCTTGAGGGGACCATCGTGAGCCTTGAGGAGAGTGGGTGGGCTGTGGAGTACAAGGACCTGCTCTGTGCTGGGCCTGTGCTAAGCACTAGGGGCAAAAGCAGAACAGCAGGGCCTCTGTTTCACAGAACCTATGGTTTAGTAGAGACGAACTTAAGTGCACAAGTGTGACTTGTGTGGGAGTGGGTGGAGAGGGAGTGAATGACTATTTACCAAGAACCCACTCTGTACCAGACTCTGAAATCATTGTTCCATATAAATATACAAATATATATATACACACACATATAATATATATATAGTTGTCTGATTTAATCCTCAGTCTTGCCAAGTCACTGTTATCTTTCCTTCTTTCAGGTGAGACAACAAGATCAGAGAGGTTAAGCAATTATTTATGTGTACATTATCTCTTGAGGATAGAATGTGAATCAAGCACTGTGCCAGGTGAGCCCTGGTCTCTGACATAAAAAGACACAGTCCTTGGCTGCCCTCAAGCCTCCTCTCTGACATAAAAAGACAGTATTTTTGGCTGCCCCCTCCTCCTTTTGTAGGAGAGACAGACATAGAGATGAATGAGCACATCTGATTACTATGGTAGAGTGGGGGCAGAGGGGTGGGGAGAGTCCAAAGGAAGGTGGAGCTCTACTACCCAAGGAAGATCACAAGTCAGCTAAGCAGTAAGTGGCAAACCCTGTACTTAAACCCAGTATTTGGAGCTCTGTCTCCAAATCCCAAGCCAAGGGCCAGAGAGAATTATTTACTAGTCTTTGAGGGGATAGGGCAGCCTCATTGAAGAGATGGCATTTGAGTCAGGCCTTGCATCACTGGTGGAGTTTGTGTAGGTGGACATCTGTAGGGGCAGAATGTTCTGGACAAAAGGAATGGCACAAGCAAAGACTAGGAGGCAGGAAAGAATGGTGTATGTGTGGAGAGGGTTAGGTCAGCCACTTTGCCTGGAATGGAGTCTGACTGTGGGAGGGATCCAACAGGATGGAGCCAGAGAGGTGACTCTCTCAACCCCTGCTCCCTCTGATGTCCCTTAGCTGTCCCTCTGTAGACAGTGTGATAGCAGAGCCCTTTGTCTGGAACTGTGCCATCTGAATTGTCCATTCTAACTAGATGCTTCTGATTTCTACTTAACAGCCCTGATTTCTACTTCTCAGACTCCAAGAAAGGTTACAGACATTCAGAACAGCTTCCCACCTGCCCATGCCTCTACCCTCAAGCACCTCTGCTCAGCAGCAGGACTTTACTTCAGAATCTTTGTCCCAGCCCATTAAAGTCCCTCTCTTCCTCCCCTCTCATGTCATGAAGAATTTACTAAGAGCCTGTCATGTACCAACACTTCCCTAGGCTCCAAGATGCTAAAGGGAGTAAAGCTTTGCTATTGAAGAGCTTTATAGTCTAATGTTGAAAACCGACAGGCAGACGATTGCAAACATAATTTGCTAAAAGTAGTCACAATGTAGATACCCCCCTACCTGGGAGTGATGACATTCAAGCCTCACAAAGGAGACACCTGATCTATGTCCTAAAGTCTAACTGGGCGCTTGGCAGACAGATGAGGTAGTGTTCCAGGCCAAGACAACAGCACAGACGCCTGGAACAACATAATATTTGGGGTACCTGAGCAGAGGTGAATATTGGTGGGGGAGGTGAGAAATGACCCTAGAGGTAGAGAGGAGGCTGGTTGTTCTGGGCCTTATGGAGGCCAGGATGTGGGACTTAATTTTCAGGGTAGTGGGCAGCCTAAGCAAGGAAAGACAGGGTCATGTGGAAGATCCCTTTGATGGCCTTTATAGAGATGGATGGGAGAGAATCAACTGAAGTCACGGCTATACTGGATTCATTCTGTCGTCCAGCCTCTCATGGAAGGAAAAGGAGGCTTTAGAGGAAGGGCACGTTGTTGCTAAAGATGACTGTGAGTGCGTGGCTTTCATGGACCTCCTCTTTTCAGCCTATTATTTTTTTTCTGTTGGCTGAAGGTCAGACCTGGAAGAGATTTCACACACCAACTCAGCCATGTGCTTTAAGGGAAATTTAAGTAATTACCTCTTCTCAGATCTGAGAGAAGATCAAATGTTCCACTTGAATTTGTTTGTGTCTCAAAAATTTAACCTGTGATCCCACACAGAGAGAAGAAACTTTGGTATTTGCTTCTGAAACTTTAGAATTACTCATTCATTGTCGTCATTGTTTTATTTACTTAGCAAACATTTAGGGAGTGCCTACTCAGCGCTAGGTGCTGGGGACAAAGGAAAGAATAAGACCTAGGCCCAGCCCTTGAATAGGTCCTGCACATCTTATTGGGAGGTGCTGTCAGAACGATTACGATGCTATTGGTCCTTTGCTCTGCCAACTTCTGTATCTGTAATTTACTCACCTGTGGTCACACAATTAAAATATAGCATAGCCAGGAATGGGACCTGAAATCTCTACCAGAAGGAGTCAAGCTCTTTTATTTGCACTGTTCTGCTCCCCAGTCATCTTGCATTCAGCTTTGTGCAAGTTTCATTCTTAAATCTTAGGGTACTACAGAGATTTCATCTTTCAGTTAGCAGCTGCCAGCAATTCAGGATTGATATTCTCTCCTGGGAAGCTGTATCATGAGGAATTTTAGTAACAAATTCACCAGGACCTTCACTGCCACCAACCAAAGTCTAGGATGTGTCAACTGAACCCAGAGTTGCAAGCAGATTGTTACAAAGGGCTTTAATATATAAAGAGCTTTGTACCCAGTTTTCCACATGGCTAGGATAAGAGAAGGCTGGTCTGTGAGTTCATCTGTTACCTAAGTTAACCTGCACGGCCAGAGGGAGCTGCTGTGGCAGCAGCCAAATCTCTGATCTCAGTCAACTCCTGAAATGTTTGCATGGGGAGAATTTCCAGCATGTTAAATTATGTTGGCCTTTGAAGTTGTTCTCCCACAAAAGTTAATCAAGTCATTTGGCCTTATTTACCCATTTTCATCCTGTTTCTCTGCCCTTTAGTAATCAACACACAATAGGTGATTTTTAAAAACAGTCCATTTTTAAAAGCTAATGGAGAAAAAATAACCCCTTTAGAAACTATCACCATTTATCTAGCTTCCTTTCGCTGTTTAAACTGCATGTAATTTGTGTTGATTGCATTAAAATAAAAATCAGAGTAGCTGCTGGATCAGGCAATCAGGGGCTTAATGTGTATTGTGTTTTAATTTCTTGGTTCAAATGCTCCTGTCTAGATACTAGGTCTTGGGGAGGGGGAGGCCTTCACATTTTTGCCCACACTTTCCTAAGCTCCCTTCTTCTGTTACGGCCTTCTCCACTGTAAGATACTGAGGTGAGGATTTTGGCAAAGACACGATTTGCATATTCCAGTAATTGCCACCCCTTCTTCTCCAACCCAGCCTTAACAGAACCTCTTTCCTGTGCAGGAAGTTGAATCCCTGCCTTTCCATTTAGACAATGACAGCCTGGAAGAGTGCTTCTCATTCAAACTTGATTAGAGTCTAGTCCACTCTTGTCTTCCAGTTTTCCACCTTTTCCCTTGTGACATTCATGCTTCATATTATTTTCAAGTCTGGGTTTAAGTGTAGTTCAATGGACAAAAATAAGCTAGGATATTTTTGTGCCACTGTGTGCTGATAGATGCCTAGTTAAAAATATTTGCCTTTTATTTTCCTTGGAGTTCTAGACAGATTTCTTTTCTTAACTGCCTAGGTCCCGCCATTGATCTGGAAAAAGTAAAGTCAGAATGTCTCGAGCCCGAGCCGGAGTTACGGAGCACTTTCAGTGAGGAAGCAAATACGTCGTCCTATTACCCCGCTCCTGCGCCTGTCATGGACAAGTATATCCTAGACAATGGCAAGGTAGTGTTTTAAGCTCAATATCCATTCCCTGCAAGTGTTTGTTAGTCAGAGTAAAGGTGGAGAGTATGGTGGGAGCTTTCCAAATCACAGCTTGACTGGTTGGCCTCCTGGCCTAGCCCTGAATGACTGTTTCTGGAATTTGTATATTATAAGTAGCATAGCTTTGCTGGGGTGTTTTCTCTTCCTTCTTCCTTTTTTCTTTCTTTCTTTTTTTTTAAAAAATACTGAGCCAAAGCAACTATAAAAGTAAATTGACATTTTAAAATAGCTTACTAGTGAGAAAGATATTTCTTAATTCCCATGAGAGTTTGATGAAACTTGTCCCACCTTCCTATGAAACCAGATGCCTAAAATTTATAAGGTGAGCTGGAAATGAAGTATCTGATTTACAGATAACAACTCAATTTGTATTCATTCACCACTTAGAAAGTATCTGTATGTTCTAAACCCTGTGCTAGATAACAGGAATACAGGGATGAATAAGACATACTCCCTTATCCCTAAGCCTCCTTCAAGCTGTGTATGCAGCAGTGGTTAGCCCACAGTCCTAGGACCACAGAGAACTCCTCGGAGTTATTTATATGACCTTGAAAACAAATCCTGAACAAAAACTTAAGCACTATTAGTAATGGAATCGCTTTTGAAAAATCTTAAAGCCACATGATGATATATACCAACAGGGCAGGGGAGGAAACTTTTCTGAAATTCTTCTAACATTCAGTCGAACTGATCTTTAAAGAAGTATATCAGAGCCCTTTGTGTAGGCACTGGTGAAATTCAGCTTTAGTGTTTTGTTCTCTGCCACTGTGGCATGCATTACAGACATCGCCTCTCATGCTCCTTAACGCGTCATGTGTTGGTTCATTTTTCTTGCCTCATGCTTCAAAAGGTCTCTGTTTATTTAGTATCATTCTCTGGTAGGTTGATGAGAAAGAAAAATTTATTTTATTTGGGTTTGTCCAGATATGTCTCTGCAACTGGCCAACCTGAGCCAAAGCAAATATTGTCAAGCTGAGGAAATGAAACGTATTAGTTTTCAGGGCTCTCTTGGATGTGCTGTCATTCCCTGCATCTCCCACTGCGCGCTTCCTCCCCTGCAGAGGTTCATTCTGCCTTGCCTTGCTCCCTTCAACAGGCTTGAAACATCAGCTTTGCAGAGGAGAGGTGGCATGACAGGTTGGAAGTCGGCAGCCTGGAGCCAGAGTTCTTAGTATAGCTCTACATCTATCCTACCTGTGTGACTTTGCAAAGGTCCTTCACTTCTCTGGGTCTCAGCATCCTTATCTGTGAAAGATGGGATCGGATTGATGCTCTCCAAAGGCCTTTCTGATTCAATCTGTGTATCTAAGTTTGGTGAACCTTCCCCAATCAAAGATAAAAGTTAGGACTATACTATGTTTGTTGATTTCTTTTTAGTCATGAACACATTGTGGAGTGACTAGAGAGTTTTTCTTAAAGTAGCTTCCAAGAGAAATCTATTTCTCCCTTGCCTTGAAGGCTGATGGATAGTTTCAGAGCAGTATAGGGGGCCTCTTTTGCAAAGATAGCATTCTTCCCCCAGAAAACGAGTCTCTCAAACCTCATTTAATATTTTAACACATGAGTTGAACAGCAAATCTTGAAAATGCCTATTTTGTTTTTTCATTGGTTTTTGCCAGCGTGTTGCTATAAGACTAACCTGGTTTTCGTTTGCACCTAATTGGTAGTCAGGCAAAGAGAGTTTTAAACGCACAGGAAAGGAAGTGGACACACTGGAAATGATGGCAGCTTCCCAGAAAAGCATCTCCCACATCCCCCAAGTACCCCTCATTGTTCTTGGCTCTGCTGTCTTCTCTAACCCTTCCTTCTGTCTGCACGATCAGAGGCCTTAATCTCTGCAAGGCTTAGAGCACTGGAATGGGATACATTTCCTAGTAGGAAGTGATTTTTGTCCTATAAAACTTTTCACATAAATATATGCTGATCAAGTTCCCTCCTACCAGATGCCATATTTTTAATAACCTCCTTTGATACATAACACTAAAACTTTGGTCGAATAGTATACTGTGGTTTACATGAATCAGGCTTGCCACACAAATTTCTGATTTGGGTAAAGTGCATTGTGTTTCTTTGTCTAAAATGTTTTATTTCAAAAACTCATTGAATCATAAAGCTGCAAAGACCATTAAATTTTAAATAACCTAATTTATATGTAGTATGGATAGGGAAACATATCCAGAGAAGGGACTCCTCTACAATTAAATAACAGGTTAGAGGCAGGCAGGAACTGAAAGCCAGACCTCCTGGTTCCCAGGCCAGTGTTCTCACCAGTCTGTTCTACTACATCCCTGAAAGCTGACCATTGCTGCAGGTGACCTTGAGCCTTGCTAACCTCAGGGGCCCTTGTCTTAGATGCCCCAGTATATACCTGTGATTGGTCGTAGTGAAGTCCGTTTCTTTCTGTGCTCTAAAGTTGGCCTTGTACTTGAGTGAATGTCAGAAAATATTTTCATCTCCAAGGAACAGCAGCTCATCAGAAGTGAAAAACAGTTCCATAAAGACATTAAATATGCCCATGATTTTTTTACTGTTTTGTGTACAGACTAGCCCATATCACTTTGTAGAGGACAGAAGAGGCAAAGCCTTGACCCTCCCCACTGACATGTACTGTGAAGGACTGAATCAGGTGGCAAAGGCTCTAAGTGGGCTAGAAATTCAGAAAGGATAGAAGTCAGCCCTGCAGTAACTAAGGAGTGTTTCCTGAATTTTAGACTGGGGCTTGAAAGATTAGCAGGCTTAAGAAAACGTAGGGAAAACATTCATTCCTGGGCAAGAGAATGGCAGGAGCAGAAACCTGGGGAGGGGAAAGGGGGTAAAGGATGTAACAGTTGCTGTCCTCCTGACGCTTTACATATCTTTTCTCATTTCACCCTCTCAGCAACTCTGAGGTAGCAATGATCTGCTGACTGTATAGATGAGAAAAGTAAGGCTCAGAAAAGTAAAGTGGCCCAAGTTAACCAGCAAGCAGGTAGAAGAGCTGAGATTTACACCCAGGCTGGCCACTCCAGCACCCATCCTCTTGATGTTACAGCACACTAGAAGTAGCAGGAAATGAACAAGTTCAGGAATTTTGTAGTATAGATGGACTATATAGATGAATATAGTAGGGGAATGAAGTAGTAGTAAACAGAATGGATTCTAATGGGCCTTCAAAGCCAGACTAAGGAAGTTGGATTAAATATGATAGGAAACAGGGAGCCATTCAAAATTCCAGAGGATTTACATAAAAACACAATTGAAAGACCACAGAAGTCATCTAGTCAAACAAGGAAGGAGATGTTTTAGGGAACTTGATCTGTCGTGATTATAGGATGGGCAGGTTGAAGAGGGGAAGGACTGGAGGCAAAGGCCAATCCGTGGCTGTTTTCCTGGTTTCCCTGTCTGCAGTGGTGAACTGCACTGGAAGTTGGTGTGGGAAATAGCCAGGCAGATACAGATAAAACTCAAAAGGAAAACTAACTGAACATTGATGTGTTAGGTCTGCTGTCTTTGATCTATATCAGCACCACCTTGGTGGCAGCAAGGAAGACGGAGAGCAGAGGCTTCAGGATTTGGGTTTGAATCTTGATTCCAACATTGACTGTGTACCTTAGAAAAAGTTATATAGTCCCTCTGAATCTCTGTTTACGTCTATAAAATGGGAAAATAATTTCTACCTATTTTCATCTCTTAAGGCCTTTATGAAGAATAAATAAATTGAATGTACAATACCTGGTTCATTATAAGTACTCAAAAATACTAGTACCCCTTTTCTCTTGTAGAACTTTGGCTAAAAGGACTTTCATCTCCCTTTCAAGAATAACAAATTAGAAGATCACAGGAAAGCAAGGCCCCAAGGGTCGGGGTGGGGTACGGGGGAAGCAGAGATTTTTGAAAAATCTGAAGTTGGCATCCATCTCTATGATTTTCTGATTCAGAATTTAATGTAATTCAAAGTTCCTTGTTTTTCTCCTGTCTCAGGAAGCTTGTGTGGGTGGCTTCAAGTGTCATCAAGGGATGTGATACAGGGTCCAGCAGGGAGCAGCAGGGAACTTGTCCTCAGCATGCCCAGTCTGGCACACAGACTGCCCACCTGCAGTTCGAACTGCGGAGGAAAGGCCACACTTGACCTTGGTGTCCGTGTTGCCTAGCCAGCAGCCAGGTAGCACATCTCGCTCCAAGGCTGCTTATCTTCCCTGAGCGGATGAACAGCTTTGCAGCACTGAAGTTTACAGCACAGAGAGGCCAGGTGGATGTAGTTATCTGATTGCCTGCAGCAGTCTGATCTTTTGAGCAAAAGGAGGTGAAGTCAGATGTGCAGGTAGATTGTTGACTTACATTCATGGGTGGGTTGTGTTGCTATTTTTTTTTTCTTCTTGATGGTTGGAAAATTTCAGTAATTGGTAAAGGAAGAAGCTTTGCTGGCTGACCTGACTGCCTAACTATGTGTACTCGCCTTCCTTCCCAAGCCAAGCTGCAGTAGTAGAAAGATCTTTAATTGTTTTTTGAACAATTGGTCTTGCTGGTCTACCATTAGTTGGGTATGCATCCAGTCTCTTAGAGCAGGACCTCTCCAGAGATGTCTCTGACCGTGTGATATTGGCAACCTGCAGGCCTTTCTGAAAACAAGGACCTTTGGCAGATCCTTCTCATGCCCCTTAGAAAGTTTAGCTCGTTAGCAGCTGCCGCCCAGTGTCCCGACAGAGGCCATTTCCTCCCTTCACAGACACAGCAGAAGCACAACGTAAATGGCAATGTCAAAGCGAACACTGTTTTTTTAATGATGAATGTTAGTAAATGACTTGTGAGATCTAAATTTTATACTAATTTTTTTTTTTTTAGATTTACTAAAGGTGCAGGAAGGGAGAACAAATGAAAATCTTGTAGCTTATTGCTGGAACATTCTGTGTCTTATTGGCTCTGCACTGAAACTCGTAGGGAGCATAAGACTGTGTTTTGTTCTTTGTGCCGTCGGAATCAAACTGGGTACCTTGTGGTTGTGTTTAAAATCATAGGTGTTTTGAGCCAGGAGGAACTTTGAGATGAAATCCAGCTCTACCACTTCATAGGTAGGGAAATGAAGCTCAGAGGTGGGAAAGGACTGGCACAGCCCTACTCCAGTTGGCAGGGCAGCTGCTCTCCTTACTTGAGCTGGCAGAGGTTTTCACACTTAGCCGTACATTGGAATTATTTAGGCCACACCCAGCCCAAATAAATCAGACTCTCTAGGAGTGGGACCCAGGAACTGGTGATTTTTCTTTTTTCTTTTTTTTTTTTGAGACGGAGTCTCACTCTCTCCCAGGCTGGAGTGCAGTGGCGCATATCTCAGCTCACTGCAACCTCTTCCTCCCAGGTTCAAGTGATTCTCTTGCCTCAGCCTCCCAAACAGCTGGGACTACAGGTGCGTGCCACCACGCCTGGCTAAGTTTTTGTATTTTTAGTAGAGACAAGAGTTTTACCATGTTAGCCAGAATGGTCCCAATCTCCTGACCTCGTGATCCGCCCACCTCGACCTCCCAAAGTGCTGGGATTACAGGTGTGAGCCACGGCAGCCGGCTGGCACTGGTGATTTTTACAGCTCCCTAGGTGACCGCTGTGTGCAGCCAAGGTTGAGAACCACCATGCTAGGAAGGTTTATGTCCCAGAATGCTCACATTAAAGGAAGGTGGAACTTTCCATAGTGTAACACAGAAAGAAGTTACACATGGGTGTCCTGTGATTTGGTCAGGCTCCGAGCAGCCTCGCGATAACCTAAGTATAGTGTAGAATCTCAACTCTGCCACTTACTAGTTGAATGATGTTCAGCAAGTCACCCCACCTTTCTGAACCTGGTGTTTCCATCTGAAAGGAAAATGGTGTTATAATGCCTTCTATGCACAATTGCCATGAAGATTTGAGATAGCAAATATAAAGCACTAGAATAAGGCCTGGCACACTATAGGAATTCAGTTGATGATAGCTATTCTGATTACCCTTAAAGAGAGTTAATTTTGTATTTATGACATGAATCTCTTACAGTTGTGCAGCAATGCTTTTTAAAGGACAAGAGAAGCCTCCCACTGCCCTCCTGTCGGACTAAACAGGTGCTGGTGTTCTTATTCCTCTCAGGTCCATCTGGGAAGCGGGATTTGGGTTGATGAGGAGAAATGGCACCAGCTACAAGTAACCCAAGGAGATTCCAAGTACACGAAGAACTTGGCAGTTATGATTTGGGGAACAGATGTTCTGAAAAACAGAAGCGTCACAGGAGTCGCCACAAAAAAAAAGAAAGATGCAGTCCCTAAACCACCCCTCTCGCCTCACAAACTAAGCATCGTCAGAGGTAGGTCACTGAGTGGAAACACAATGACTCTGTCAAGAATGTGTTAGGCACAATTCAATTCAATGATGACTTATGAAGCCTCTGCATGCCAGACGCTGGGCTGAGCCCGGGGACACCAAGCAGATGTCCCAGAGGAGCTCACATTTACCAGGGCAGATGAGCTGTGGACACAAGTATGATTATATGCCACAAGGAATTAGCATGAGAAAGGGACAGATGGCGTGCTAAAGGAGTTCTCAGGTTGGGAGAATACCCTTAGCTGGAAAATCAGGGAAGAATTCCTGGGGACCGGGGTCACTGAACTGAGCCTTGAAGGATACAGCAGACAAGGAGACACAGATATGTATGGTGAGATATTGCACTTCTGGAGGCAGAAGCATCTTGAACAAAGGCATGGAGATGGGAAGGGAATGCTGCTATGTACCCAGAGCAGGAAAGGTCAAGGCTAGGGGACGCAGTTCTTGGTGGTTCTAGCATTGTGCCTGGAGCAGTTAGTGAGATGAAGACCAGCTGGTAGTCACTACATTCAGCTTCCTTTCTGGTATTTGGGACAGGTTGGAGGGCAGGCAAAGAGACAGGGAGTCATTTGTCTCCCTAAAGATAGGGCTGTATCCTGGACTCTGGAATTTTCTCTTCCTCCCTCCCTTTCCTCTTTTCCTTCTTTCCTTTCCTTTTTTCCTTCCTTCCTTCCTCCTTTTTCCTTCCTTCCTTTCCTCCTTCCTCCTCTACTTTCTCTCCTTCCTCCTCTCTTCTTTGTCCTCTCTGTTTTTGCTTTCCTCCCTCTCTCCCACCCTCTCTCCATCCATCCATTCTTTGCCAGGCCCTCTACTGGGTATTGAGGACACAAAGAGGGATAAGACACAGCCTCCATCTGCAAGGAGTTCATAGTCTCACAGGGAAGATAAACACAAAAACAGCTAGTTACTCTACAGAAAACACAAACTATAGAGACAAACAATGATGTAGAGGGAGCAAGGAGAATACAGTAGTTGCTAATTATTTTAGGCACTTACTGTGTTTCAGGATTTGGGGGTTTTTGTTAAATGGTTCTCTTTTAAAAAACACTTTTATATATGTTAACTCATTATCCTCATAACAACCCTACTGTTGGCTACTATTATAATTCCTGTTTTACAGACAAGGAAACTGAGACACGGAAATGTTAAGTAACTTGACCAGGTTATACAGCTAGTGGCAGGAAAGCCAGGAACCCGAGCCAGCAGGCTGTCTTCAGAATCTGTGCTCCTAACCACTGACCAGTGTCCAGCTCTGCCATGTTTTCATAAAGAAAGTAAGACTCAGTCAGTCAGCACATGTGTTTTCAGCAGACTCTGGGGGCAGACAACAAATACGTCTAGGAACAAGCTCGATAATTTCAGGTACTGTGAGCTTGCTCATATGATGTGTATAGGACAGAGAGGGCTACATTCACTGGGGTAGTTGGAGAAGGTTTGTTTAAGGAGGTGACATTTGGGCTGCAATCTGGATGTGGAAGAAGCATCTTTGTAATGATCTGAAGGGTGGCAAATCAGGCAGAATAAGCAGCAGGTATGAAGGCCGGCGTGCTCCCGGTGTGAAGAAGCCCCATGTGGCTGAGATGCAGAAGAGAGAGTGAGCTCAGGGAGGTGGGAGAGAGCCTGTCTCGTAGGGCTGGGAAGGCCACAGTAAGCAGCTTGGATTTGCTAGAGTAGAAGGGCAGTGGAGGTCTTCCAGTCACGGAGTGACCACAGGAGAGATGAGTTACAAAGCTGGTGCACTGCTCTCGGTGGGAGATGCTGCTGCCATAGACTAAGGGCACAGCAGTGGAGGTGGAGAAATAGGCCCAGGTTTAGGGTGTATTTTGGAGTTCAAGGTGGCAGGACATAGGGTAAGCAACCAGCCTGAGGTAAAAGCTGTAAGGTTTCAGAGCCTAGATTCAAACACACACCCACCGACTCTGGTCTGGGGCTTGTTCTGCTGTAACGTAGCTGCCTGCCTTGCCTGGCTGGCTCTGGATTAATTGATTTAGGCAGCCGCTTATTTTTGGATAATCAGAGGTAACCTTTCATCTGGCTGCTGTCTGAAATGGTAAAGCCTGATTTCGGAGGTCACCCTGAGAAAAAGGCCATCCTGGGGGTGCAGCCCTGCTCTGCCCTGCCTGATAGGTGACTGACCTCTAATTCTGCTATGCTTGTTGGAACGTGACTCAGGAGGTCCTGGGTGCCTTCAGATAACTGCCTGTTCCTGCCATTATTAGTTTGCATAAAATCATCTGCTGTGTGTCTCCCTCAGGGATCTGGGGACTGTGTCTGATTCATCTCTGTGGCCTCATTGCCAAACATAGTGTCTGGCACATAGTAGGCACTCAGTAAATGAAGGTTGAACAGAAGAAACACTGAGACCCACAAGCTGATCCCCTGACCAAATTTGGTGTGATTTCTTGTAAATCACTTTCTCTATACGTTTCGGATTTCTTAGCTGAAAACTAAGCTGAAACTATCTTGCCTCTTAAGATAGTCAGGGCAGCCTAGGATTGTAGCAGTGCAGCAGTGTAGAAGAAAACATCTCAGCCATGTGGCTTGGGCCATTAGCTTCAACCCCAGCTAGGACTCAGCATCATCTGCCAAGTTGTCTGAGTTTTCTTCCCTGATCTACTGCCTCATTTTCCAAGCGTTTTTAAAAATTTTTTACTTTTTCCAAATACGATAGTTCACATCTATCAAAGAGATAGGCCTTGTCTCTTCTTTCACAGAGGAAAGTAAAGGAATTTCCACAGTTTTGAAGCATCACACCTACAGATTAACTATGTCCTCCATTTTCCTGTCTCCTGTCCCAAAAGAGTTCCTTATTTGGGGCTGGTAATTCTCTCCATCTGGGCTCTGGATTTTAATCCACCTGCGTTCCTAAGTACCTTGTTCTTCAGTTATGTTCCTGCTCTACTGTTTCCTTCCCAGCATTGTATAAATATATTTGATCACTCATTTCTTACAAAAGCAAAGAAATCCTCCTTGAAGGGCACTCTGTCACCCAGCTGCTGTCATATCTCCCTTCTTTCACATCCAGGCTCCTGGAAAGACTGGCTACACCCGCTGTCTGTGTTCCCTGTTAATGCCCTTGCCATTTGCCTTCCCCTCCCAGCCTTCTGCTTAATGTGTTTTCACCAAGGTCCCTAGTGACTTCCTCATCACTAAATCCTTGTGGGTTTCTCACACTCTCACTGGCACTGTTTGACACGACCATTCCTCCTTCACTGAGAAACCTGTTCTGCACACTGGGGATTTCTTCCCACCTCTCTGGTTTCTCAGTCTCCTTGATAGGCCCTCTCCTGTGTCCAGCCACCTTCTCTCTAGTCCTACCAAGCATTCCTCAGCTTCTCTCTTCACTTCTTATTGTTCCCATTGCCTTCACGTGCCCTTGGCTCTGGGTTGAAATCCGTACTCCTCATCTGTTACAGATAATCTGCCTTTGGGCCTAGTGATCTGCCTTTGGGACGCCTCTGACCTCATCTTGTACCACACTTCCCATTTGCCACCGTGCTGCAGCACTAGAGGCCTTCCTCCAGGTCCTTTCTGTTCCTACTCGCTTGCTCCTGATCTGCTTGCCCTCCCTCCCTGTCACTGAGAGAGGCCTCCCCAGCCACTCAGCCTAAAGTAGCCTCTCCATTGCTGTCTGTCACATTACGTGCTTTAAGTCTCTGCATAGCATTCCTATTTACTTTTTTTACTTGATAATTTTCTTTCTTCTCCCACTTCCATTAGAATTAAACTTTATCAGCATCTTGTTCAGGGCTAGCCTATAGTAAGCGCTCAATAAATATTTGTTGATTCAATGGATGATGACTCCCAAATGTGTATTTGACTCAATTCACACTTCTGATTTCTTGATCTATGTATCAAAGTGCCCACTGGTTATCTCTTCACAGATGTCCACATGGCATTGGCAAAACTGCACTGCTCACTTCTCTTTCTTTCTTCCTCTCCTCCTCTGTGAAGCCTTCGCCTCTTCTGTGTTCCCTGTCTTGGTGAGTAGTACCACCAGCCAGGCACCCAGGCCTCATCCTTGACTCCTCCACATCCCTCACTACCCATCTGTTTGGCCCCAAATCTCTCTTAAACCACTGCTGATCCACTCCCCCATTTTCTAAGCCATTTTAAAGTGTCTCTCCTTTTTCCAAATATGGAGAGAACCATCTGTATCTCTCCATAGTTACTGCCCTTCTCATAGCCCACACTCATTTCTCCCCTCCATTACTCTGGCAGCTTCCAGACTCCTCTCTCCATTATGTAACCAGAGCAATCTTCAGAAACCAGATATCCCTTGACCACCACCCAGTCACAGCCTGTTCAGAATGTTCATTATTAAAGAGTAAGCTTCTTAACATGCCAGAAAAGCACCTTTGTAATCTGGTTCCTGGCTGAATCTCCAGTATTATTTTTCAGCAGTATTCCCCCTGCACTCTAAGTTATTACCGTGGTGAACTGCCGTATTCCCTGAGCAAGCCTTGTTCCCCGTCACCTTGGGGAATTTGCAGATACTTTTCCGGATGCCTGGAACACAGGTTACACTACCTACCTTCCATCTGTGCTGCCTTGCCTGGCTAACTGCTGCTTACCATCCAGATCTGCTTAGGTGAGCCTTCCTTCAGGAAATCATCTCTGACCTTTTAGGGTGGGTCGATGCTTCTGTCATTCATCTCAGAGCACCCAGTTCTCTTACTGTATCTTTGCCTCCTAGGGACCTTGTCTAACCCTTATTGCCTATAAATGCTTGCTATGTACATGAATGAGAAGAAAATTGACTTGCCCAAGGCCATACGTCTTATTAGAGACAGCCAAGCTGAACTGGGTTTTCAGGCTACCTACTGTCGCCAGAGGTTTCTTGTATTACTGAAATATAATGTTGATTTTTTTTTTTTAAACTAGACAGGCAGGTTTGACGTCTGTCTCCTATCCCATGATATAACCACTGTCTTTAGCCTAATTATTTGAGCTATTCCAGATTGCATTTGGCTGGTTCTTCCCATGCAAGCTGTCTGCTGGATTGAGATTGTTTGTATTTATTTTGTCTGATTTTATCACATGTAGTCACATTTGCCATATAAAAAATAGAAAAACCTTTATGCTCACAGAGTTGGTGAGGATTTCTTCTTTTCCTTGATTTTAAAATAATTCCTTACCTGATAGCAGAGGGATAGGGCAAACATTGATGCTGCTTTGGAAAGATAAAAGCAGGAGAACTGAAGCAGAGTCTTGCTCTAATGACAAGCTCCAGAATGATAGTTAAACCTATTAAGGTCAAATGACCTTTTGTGGAGTGTCTGAGTTTTCTAAATGAGCCTCAGCATTGCGTTCTGGTTAATTTTTATAACTTTTTTAATAGGACACATTAGCACTGTTATAAACCTTGTTAATTAAGCAATAATCTCAAATGCTCCCTCGCAGAGGGAGACATTCCCAGCAACTGCAGGTGATTAATATCTGGAGTCTAACGAAAGCCTTTTAATCAACCTGAGAAGCTGTTCGTTCAGTGCTGTTACCCACAGGAAATGAGAATGATTGAAATTCTATGGGGGCTCCTACGAAAGCCTTCTTCCATTTGCACCTTTCTCCTTCTCCCTCTTCCCTGATTAGTGCTAGGGGCTCCAAGGGCCACCACGCCCACTCTCGTGCCTTCTCCTTCTGTCTCTTTTGCCACTTTACCTGCCATTATTACCTTGCAGACAATTAGAGACTTCAAGCTAGGGGAATCTTCTTAGATTCTCTGGTTTGACATGCTACTTTTGTAGATAGTGAAACAGACCCAGAGAAGTTCCCCCTAGAGGTTGCACAGCATCTAGGGTTAGAATCAGATATGAATATCTCAACTTATAAGCAGTTCTCACCACAGTTTGTCTCCCTCATTTGGTTCAGGTTCCAACAAAGTCGCTCTGGGTGTTTGTTTTCTCCTGGCCTAGGGGTACAGAGGGACTGCCTGAGTGTCCCAGTCTGTTGGGGGGGACAATGTAGTTACAGTTTTATTAGATTGTGATTCATGCTTTGACAGAAAAACCCAGACAGGTGTGGGAGCACAGAGTTCTAGGTAGAATGGGGTCTCCTAATTCAGTCTGATACCAGGTTTCAAGAAGGCTGAATCTGGAAGAATGAGTAGAGCTTAGGCAGGTGAAGGGTAAGGACTTAAGCAGAGATGAGCAAAGTGACTGACAGGTGGAATAGGTTGAAAAGGATGATGAATATAGCAGAGGTGGGACTGGAGAGACAGAGCCTCCTACCTTCTTGTCTCTCAGTCCTTACGGAAAGGACTGAGATGAAAGACAAGATGAAGTGAGGATTAGTCAGGCTTGGGAGTAGTCAGGAAGTGACGGGTAGAGGTCAATTAAAAGCTTTTAAAGGCTTCTCTGTGCAAAACCCTTCTCGGTGGAAAGAAAAGGGTGCCTCAGAAAAAGAACGCTTATGGGAGGTGCACCTACAGCATGGATGGCAACAGGAGGCAGACTGGCTGGCTCTGTGCCCAGGGAAGGGCTCAGCGTATGGGGAGGTAGCAGTGGATTCTGCCCTATACCTACTCCCTTTCTCCAGGGCTCGGGCTTCTCATATGTTAGTGGAGAGGTTAGCACAAGTTAGTCATCACGATCCCTTCTAGTGTTGACATTCTGCATCTCTGAGACAATTACCTGTTCTGAGCTGGTTTGCTAATGACAAGATTTTGCTTGTTCTCCATAGCAATTCCTCAAGGTTGGATTGCCATTCTGTTTAGTTGAGAAAAGTCAGGCTCAAAGAGTCCCCAGGGGGTTTGCCCATTATTACACACTCCCATGGTACATTCACCACCCACACCCTAGTCCTCTTCTGTCCACAATATTTGTATTCCCTTAGGTTTCCCTGGAAAAGCATTTCTTCAGTCGTTTCACATATATTTATTTAAGCTTGCCCCTGTGCCAAACACTGTGTTAGGCCCTAGGAATTAATAGTTGTAAATACATAAAATACTCAGAACAACCCCATACAGGTGTAGTATTCTTTACAACTTGAAAAAGGCAACATGTTTATCCCACATGCCTCATGGCAGCATTAAAAAAAAAAATGCTCTGTAGTTTGTTATCCTTACTTATGAGGTGAGGAATCTAGGGCAATGATTTGCACCAGGTCCCCAGGCTAGGCAGTCAGTTGAAATCAGGCTCCAGCCAGACCTTGTCTGGAGCTGGCTTTTTGCTTTATCACAGCAAACGGTGGACTCAGTAAGAGAGTGGCCATACTGAGCCTCATTAGTAATCACAGCAGTGAGACACTACTTCACACCTACCAGGTTGTCAGAACCTTAATAATGTGACAATGTCAAGTACTATTAAAATGGGGCAACCAGTACTACTTGCATACACTGTTGCTAGGAGTGCCAGTCAGCACAATCACTTTGGAAAACAATTTAGCAGGCATCACCTAATAAAGTTGCATATGCACACCTCTTAACATTCAGCAAGTCCACGCCTAGGCTGATACTGGAGAATTTCTTGCATGTATTCCCCAGAGGTGTGTGGCAGGGTGTTTTTAATTGCAAAACCAAGTATCCATGGATGATACAATGGATAAACAAACTGTGACAGAGCCATACAATAGAACACTACTCATCAGTGAAAATGACCTACAACTACATTTTTCATGAGTAAACCTCAAAACTGTAACATTTGAGTAAAAAAAAAAGCAAGTCAGGATGATACATAGAGTGCGCACATTTATAAAAAGATTGAAAATGGAAAGTGAACCATATATTATTTTAGGATATATACATGTGTTAACACTAAAAGAAAAAAAAAAAAGCAAAAGTTCAGGAGAATGGTTATCTCCGGTGGAGAGGAAAGAATTAGGGAGGGGCCTCCAGGTGCTTGGGAGGAACCGATAGTATCCTGCCCCACCGAGAGGTGGGCACGTGGCGCTTCATTATTACTTTTAAAGTGTACATTTACAGTGTATAGCTCCTCTTTTCTAAGTACATGCTATGATGCAAATTTTAAAATATAGCTATGCCAGATACATGAACTGGTATTTGGGATGTATGTTGAGAGGCACATTTTCTTTTACCCTCCTTAAAAGGTTTTTACTCGAATTCACCATTAATCCTTGGCCTTGTTTCTTCTCCCTGTCTAGAGTGTTTGTATGACAGAATAGCACAAGAAACTGTGGATGAAACTGAAATTGCACAGAGACTCTCCAAAGTCAACAAGTACATCTGTGAAAAAATCATGGATATCAATAAATCCTGTAAAAATGAAGAACGAAGGGAAGCAAAATACAATTTGCAATAAACTTTGGATTTTTCATAAAGCTTTTGTGTTTTCCTTGTGTGGCATGTGATTTGCGAGCGATGGTGCCGTCCAAATCAGACCCCACCATGCATGGTGGTGTGTGGGCACGAATCCACCGGGTTCTGGGGTCGGCGGCTTGTTCTGAGTGTGGACACTCCAAAGAAGACAGATGGCTTTGCTGAGACTCAGGAGCAGCCTGGCACTGGTGTCCTTCTGGGAATGGGGGAAATACTGTTCTTGGAGGGGGATAAGGTTGCCTGAGTTGCCTGTCACTTGACTGGGATTTGAATGGATATTTTTACCATCCAAGGACTTCTCTGTTCCTCTATTTTGTTCTATAATAAAGTTTCATTAATTCTTTGAATGTAGATAGTCTTTATCCTCATTTCTTTAGTATATTACATATACAGTGGAGGTGACCAGTGTGTTGTGCCACCTGGCATGCCCTTCCTTTCAGGGGAGGAATATCGCGGCTGAAGGAGAGAAAATTCCTAAGAGATATGGTTGCTTTCTATAGATTTGAAGGTCTGTCTCAAAAGCAGATATCTTTCTCTGACTTCAAAGGCCAGATCTTGGACCAGTCACCTTTCTCACTCGAGGTGATCTGAGATTCAACTTCCCTGATAATTTGAATCAATCTTTGTAAAGGGGTGAAGACAGGGTGATAATGCTAGATGAGTATAGGGTTACATTCAGGAACTAGGGGCACTGTTACCTGGTATCAGTTCTTTCATCCTATCTTGTGTCTCAAATGTTCTTTCAAGTTACATAATTTTTTTCTCATTCTTTATTCAGTTACTGAGTCTCTAAGGTGCCTGGCACACATTCTGGCAAACCACATTAGAACTTCCTGTTGATTTGCACTTTGCTTTCTGTAATGCCTGTGAAGTATGCATGGCGTATTAGAAAGGGCAAGGGCTTTGGGCCGATGTGTCTAGATTCCAAGCCTGGCTCCCCTGCCTGCTTTGGGCTTAACCTGTCCTCTCTGAGTTTCCATTTTCTATTTCACGAAAAGGAGTAATACCTACCTTTCAGAGGTGCTACAAGGATTAGAGATAACGTAAGTGTTCAATAAATGTTAGCAACTGTTACTCATTTCTGATTATTGGCTGTTATCGTTGGTTAGAAAAGTGGCCTCTGGTTTCTCTAATGGTTAATCCATTAATTGGTAGTCTGTAACCAAAAGCTCAGGGTCACTGGAGGAAGTAGGAGAGGTGGCTGCCACTTTGAGAACTTTTATTTTAATTGACTTTCAGTTAACTAAACTTATTCTCAGAGTTCTTATCAGTAATGAGGAGGAAAATAATGCCTACCTCATAGGCCGTGTGGGTAACTTAATAATAATAATAATAACAGATCGTTAATATGTGCCAAGACTTTTCTAAGTGTTTAACATAGTATGTTAAATCATTTCACAGGGTAAGTAAAGTTCCTGACACTTAGTAGATAGATGTTCAATAAATCCTTGATATGTTCATTTAAGGGCATGGGGAAGCTGGGGCATGAGTTGTGTGGAGCGCGTGAGAGGCTGGAAAACAAACTTTGCATCCTTGTTGAGCTCATCCCCTTTTCTCTCCGTGCATAACAAAGATACTAACACCCACTCAGAGGCTCTGCATTTCTGCTTAAAGACTGATAAAGTATGGTACCTGCTTTACAAGTGCTTTTAGGTTCGTGGGGGAATAGTTGTGGAAATAACTATAATAAAAATGCTATGATATATGTGAAAGTGCTTTGTGTAATGTTTGATGCATATATTCAAGAGAACAGGGCAGTTAAAGATTATGGGATCTGGGTTTAAATCCTGGCTTTGCCACTTCCAAGCAGGTCACTTGACCTCTGGGCCTCGTTTCTTCTGGTGTGGAGAGAATGATCCCTAATTCAGGGTTGTTGTGGAGAGTAATCTAGATAATATCTGAAAAAAGTGCTCTGTAAATCACAAAGACCCTTGCAGATGTTCATTATTATCCTTAGCATAGAAGGCAGAATGAAATCAGAAGTAGATGCAACAAGGAATCATGCTTGTAAGAGCCAATTCTGATGTAATCAGGAGGCTTCACACGCTAATTAGGCTGAGACGGTTTGGCCTCTGTTGTGTACCTGGTGCCTTGTTATTGTAATATGAGGGCAAGATCATCATTCTCACACCCATACAAATGAAGAAATGGGCTCAAAAAAGGTTAAGTAATTTCTTGCTCAAGGTCCTGGAGCTGTCAGCAGTGGACCTGGATCAGAACTCAGGTCTGTGAAAAACCTGCCCTTTTACCTCTTTCCTGAAAGATGAGTGGTAAATTATGGTCTAGGCTGTGAGTCTAGTCACATAGTCTCAGGATATGTTTAGGGGAAACCCAACCTAAGTATTAGTCAATGGAAATCAGTCTTATTAATTCAGGCCATTTGGAGGGACTAGGAATGATAGTACTGCTTATAAACATTAACAGTTTTATTACATTCAAATACATATAAAAACTCAAATTGATTTTGTTTGGTAGAGTGTTTCCCAAACTTGCCCAATCTTAAGAATTGGCTGAGGTGCTTAAAATACATATTTCCTGTGCTTTGGCTTGGAGAGCCTGATTGGGTAGGTCTGGGATGAGGCTGGGAACGTGTATTTTAACACAGATGTCACTTTTGAAAAATACCAGTTAAAGTCATTAGAAGACCTTCATTAAAATGAAGGAATAAGAGTGTTGCCTATGTTAAAAAAAAAAAAAAAAAAATGGATGGGGAGCCAACAAACTGATGGTCTTTCTAATATGCCTGAGGATACTTGAAATTGAGAGTAGATATCTTCTTAAGTAACTGAGACTGCCGTAACACCTGTTTAGAATTCCTCTTCATGGCCACCAAATGCTGTCCAGCTGGACACAATGCAGAAGGTGATTTTCTGTCTAGGCTCAAATGATTTTTCCCTCGCTTGTACACTTAGATTCCTTGGATTCTTGTGCCAGGCCAGTGAGTTGTGTAGGAGAGGACTGTCAATACTGAATTGGCAGGACCTAAATCAATGAGGTTTGGCGCTGTCTTCAGAAGCCCCGGCAACAAGTTTTCTGACACCAGATGAAACAGAAAGATGGGGTTTGGCTTTATTTCCTTGCTTAGGAAAGTATATTGGTGACTTTTAGGTACTTGGATGCTTCCTGCAGGCATTTCTAACTTGCGATTTTTTTTTGTAATTATAGTGAAAAACTACTTTATGGAAATTATTGCCAAAAATAGGAAATACCCTCAAAACTGCACTGCTGAAAGCACTCGGATGTATCTCATGTAGTCTTTTTTCAAGGGTGAAAATATGTATTTTCCATACCTGTGATTATAGCACATAGTCAGCTTTGTATCCTTCCCTTCGCATTTAACATGTTTCACCATTGCTCCATAAAGTTCATAACTATCAGTTCTAACATCCACAAAGTGGACCGACATAAAGCTGCAATTGAGTAAGCCACCTGGTCAGCTGCCCAAGCCCTAACCCACAGATCAGGGGTTTGTGAAGGGCCTGGCTGCACACTTTTCATCACACACACGGGCAAAGTGAGCTAGAGTTAGGAGGCAGATGCATGCGACTTTAGTTCCCAACTCTAGCACTTAAAAACAGACGAGGCAAGTTACTTCGTCTTTCTTAACACCAGCTTCTTCATCTGCAAAATGGAGGAAATAAGGTCTAGTTATAGGGTTATTAGGAGTAATGAGAGTGTAAGTAATGTGCACCAGCAAGAGAGGGGCTAAATGGCTGTCAGAGTAAATGTTGGGCTTCCTCTCCTCTCTTCTCTCACTACACCTGTTCATTCCTCACTGACGTGTGCTCCTCCTAACCTGCTGACCCCGTACGCAGTGACCTAGGCTTTCATACCCACCTTTGGCTCTCTGGGCACCTGCTTATCCCATAGTTCTCCGTACATGGGGGGTCTCCCCGACGCATGCTGACTAGCTCACTCCTCGGCTTCCAGCTCCCCTCACCTACCTCAGCCCCTACTCACTGCCACCCAAGGGCCCATTTACAACTTCCTTGGATTTTTAGACTCTTTATAAATAAACCTAGATGAAGATTTTTCTGTTTCACAATGTTTTCTCTTTATATTTTCCCTCGTTTTCTTAAGAGTGGTTGTACCTGGGTCAAAAGGAATGACATTTTATCACTCTTGATACATATAATGGGTATGACCACTTTTTAAATTATTTTGCCCACTTAATAGGTGAAAAATAGCAGCACCTTGTTATGTTTTATTTTATTATAGTCAAGACTGCATATCTTTCCAGAGTTTGGCTACTTCTTTGTAGAAAAGGAAAACTTCTTTAAAACCTATAAGTAACTTCAGCAGAATCCATTTCATTTTCTGTGTTTAGTTTTCTCATGGACCAATGTGTTAACTTGGGCATATAATTTTTGCCTATAGGTCTGCAAATAGACAAACCAATAGATATTTTCACTTCTTTTGAAGTGATTGATCCCTTTCTGCCAGGCAGCTTCATAGGCTCATAGAACCTAAGGATCAAAGATGAACTTTGAGATTTTCCACCCAAATCTCCTCCCCATTGTAAGCAAATATCATTCCAGACCATGCTTGAATACCTCCAAGCACAAAGAATTCATATTCCTACCCAAGAGTCCATCCAGTTATTGCCATCAGTAAAATATTATTCCATTGAGCTAAAAATCTACCTCCCTGAGACTTTCAAAGTCATTCAAATTCTTCTCTTTCAAGCCACACAATATTTCCACTCACAGCCCTTTGTAGAGTTGAAGGTGACTGTCATTTCTCCTCACCAACTAGTAAATAGCTCAAATTCTGCTTCACCATTTCTCGTGTGTGGAAGGCTACATGCGAAAGAGTGGGGAGTGTGGATTTAGACAGCCATGTGTTCAAATCCAATTTCTTCCACTTAGTGGTGTGTGACCTTGAACAAATTCTTAACCTCTCTGAGCTTCAGTTTTCCCATTTTGACAACGGGAATAGTAATATCTATCTCACAGGATTATGTCAAGAGTTAAGTAAGATAAAGTGAACAAAGCATTCTAGGCATTCGGTATCTCTTAGTTCCCTAATCCTGAGAACTCTGACCATCCTGGTTGCTCTTTTATGGATCCGCCCCTGTAGATGAGACTCAGGACTGGACCTGGTGCTCCAGGAAGAGTTCGATCAGCAAGATGTCACCTCTTACTCTTGGACTTTGAATTAGCATCTTTAGCAAAAGAATTGTCTCATATTGAGCCAATAAGGCTCAGTAAGGTAATATTGACAGTATGTGGTGAAGGAAATGTTACCAGTCCCCTCTTCTCTCTTTTTGGCTAACACGATACTTGTCCCTTTCGTTTACTGTTTTATAAGGGAAAGAGCATCAATTTTGGAGCCAGAGAGACTGACA